TAATTTTTTTAGTTTATGTTTTTTTTTTTAAATTGTATATATGGTTCGTAATTTTATTAAAAATTAAATTTAAAACTTTTAATTTATATTTCAAACTTAACTCAAATTAATTTTTAATTTTTATAATTATATATGATAGAGAAATATATTTCTTATTTCATCGTTGGAAAATAAAATGGAAGTCTATGTTTGATTTAGATTAATTTTGTTTTCAAAATAACTTTTGAAAAGCTATATAATATTTCAATTTTATTACAACAAAATCAAATGACTCTATTTGCTCTGTCTGTATATATGAAAGATGGCTGAAGATTATCTCATACCAAGTGGTGATATGGTATTGTCCAACGAAGAAGGATTTGCCATCTCCATCACAGGCCTTCGTGATGGTAAGCTATTACTAGCATCTTGATAAGCTGATTTAATCTCCTCCATGCTGGCATAGAAATCAATAGAAAAGAAATTACAAGAACCAATTAAAAATATATTACCAAATATCACATAAGTAAACTTCTAAGTTTCCATTAATTGACATGAATAAATACAATTATTATGATTTATTGTGACATTTTTTGTGTAAACCTTCCGAAAACATTTGTTATCATAATTTATTGTCATATTGATAGAGTTATTCTTGAAGAAAATTATAAGTGGAGACCATACACAAACAGAGGGACAAGGAGGTTTCAACCATGTCAGAGGCACTAAAACTTATGAATTGGCCACGTAATTAGCTCTTTAAATATTATTCAACATTTGATAAAATTCATAAGTAAATATCCTTACCATGTCATTTTAGAATTTCCAGTACCAAGTTGAGGTTGAGCAACATATCCAGGGAATGCCAAGGAACTCCTATAACTCCAATTTTAATAAATTGCATAACAGTGACCCATCAGAGCGCAATGAAAATTAAAAAAAATATATATTACAAAAGGTAAAAGAAAAAAAATAACTACTTAATCTGTTCTGGAAGGATTACAAATGCAAACACCAAACAAAACCACGTGCGTATAAATAAATTAGTTTACAGGATCTATCTGTAACATAGTAAACAATATAATTGCTTGATTTTTCAGAAACCAGGGATGCTACAACTTTTACTTGATACATGCGAAAATTGTATTCCAACAACCGAAGTGAAAAGTTGCAATAAATAGATTGGATTAAAAGTTTTCTCTAAGACAACAATATTGATCTCGTGGAACCTGAACATAAGCAAAAGTATTTATCACAAAGTTCATGTTTTGAGCATGGAAAGCAAATAAAAACTAGTATAGTCAATAAATGAGTCTCTCCTTACCCTCATTCCCGGATGGGCAACTTTTACATGCCAAATTTAAAAGCCCCTTTGCTAACACATAAAGACTTAAATCAAGCAGAGTAAGCAATTAAAGACTTAAATCAAGGATAACAATAGTTATATAAGGCTATAAGCTCACATAGTAAGAAGATTTTGAAGAGTTCACTTCAGATGCAAAGTCAAAGTAATAACCCAAACCATACTTAAATTCCTTAAAGAATACATTTAAGTACTCTGCCTCAATTCATACATGGTACATGCATATACAAAACAGTTTATACAATAGCAGTGAGGGTCAGGTAGTGATCAATATAAATTTTAAACAGAGAAAAATGATAGAAATTATAAGATTAAATAGAAAATGTGCAACTTAAGGCATTCTACACCTAAGGAAGCAATAATAGGATATAACTATGACTCCATAAAAGTCAATAACATAATGATGGATCCATTGACTTCTATAAATCCTCAAAAATAAGGAAACCACATGAAAGGTTCAAGAAAGGCAGTTGGGAAAAAGCAAACAAATACTAACCCACCAAACAACGTGAGGCATAACAGCTACCATGAATAAGAAAATCTATGAGGTAACAGTCTCGTTCTACCTGTGATAGAGGAATATTCCATTGAGAGGCAAAACAAAGTATATTTGCACACCACAAAAATCACATGAGTTTCAGTAATAACGATGACATAGAGTTATCAATTCCAGTAGCAACACACAAAATCAACACAACAAATAAACAAGTATAAGGTAATACCGAAATGAATTCAGAATACAAAACATGACAGATACCAATCAAGGAAGGCTGACACATAGCGTACAAGCATTCACAAAATAAACAGTTTGAAATGAAAAAAAATAGTGAAAATGGAAGAACATTTACCTTGAAATGCGAAAAATTGATTCAACAAGAGGGCAATAAGAACCTTAAAAAAATTGGGAAGAAATAGGGAATACAGTTGATTCGAGGGCAACGCCTAAAGAGAAGAAAGCGCAAATGCTTCGGGTGAAGTCGATAACTGCAGAAGAGAAAACCCTAGCACACGAAGAAGAAGAAGAGGATTTGACTTTTTTAATCATATTTTTCTCTAATATTGGTTGAACAGAAGAATACGGTTGAATCCGAGAAGATGAAGAAAGGAAAAATGGTAAATGCTTCCCGGAAGCAAGTTCAACCAAACTCTAACTTGGGGAAAACGGGAGATGAAAGCGTCTTATGCAATGGTGTGAGTAAAATCTCTCGGATCAGGGGCGGTTTTTGGGCCGGCCTCAAATACACCGCCACTGTGTTCCGTGTTTCTTGTAGTGACTCTACACAAACTTGAACTGATGTGACATAATAATAGTTAAAATGCAAAGACATATATGAAATACTATTAAATTGATTATTAAATAGAAAAATCGCTTAAATTTTTGTTGTTTTTTCCATTATCTTTTTGCTCCTAATGTTGTTCCCCAACTGCAAAGGACGACGATCTGAGTTGCAATCTTGCTCGCAAAAATAACATGATTTAGTGCTTGTAAATTAGTATGTTCTTGAATTTTGTTTTTTTAAAAAAGAAAGGCACTTTATAAAATATAATCATTAGTCAAAAAATAATTTGTTAAACTTGTGATAAAATTTATGTAGCATAAAACTATATATTATTCTTTTATTTTTTATTTTCTTTATCACTTCTTACTACCATTTTAGTAACCGTTAAATAGTAATCATTTAAACATGACGGAAAGAGAAAGATGAAAGATAGAATGAGGGAATAAGCAATTGGAGAGAAAGAAAATTAAAATCAAATAACATCTGTTAATTTAATTTCATCCAACGATTATAAGAGGGGCAATAAGAGGTGATAAGCTTACTTGGTGATAATTATTACTTCTTCCAATTTTCAAACGAAAAGTTATAACCTATATTTTTGCTTTAAAATTTATGTCGGAGTTTAAAGGAACCTATATTATAAGGGTACAAGCAAATTTGTTAACCAATTAGCTTTGAAGAAAAAAATTGGCTAGTAAATTTGCTAACAAATTGACAAGTGATCGACTCTGGTCACCTCTTGCAATATTGTTTAAAAAAAATAAAATAATTTACGCAATTAGATTGCAAAGAGAAATAGGAAAGACAATTAAATCAATTATTAAAAGCATTTCACGTAGTAGAAATGTTATACATCAAAGAGTCATAATAGCTAGTAAGTAATAAATAGCACAATGTGTACTGAAAAAGAAATGTTTCTCCACAGTCAATAGTACAACAAAGACATTGCACAATCATAAAATTAATAATGCATTAAAAGTACAATAATAATTGTCTTTAGCAAGTCGAAGAAACTTTTCAATTATTTTTGGCTCAAGGAATAAGATGATCGATGATTTGTTGGAATATGCAGTACATGAAGGAAAGATGTAGATAAGGGGAATTAGGATGTCAATGTATCATGTGGTAGTCGTTCTGCCAAATAGATATACATATGTCCCATAGCTCCAGTTAGAAAGCCGCTTTCGTATCTGGCTTCTAGTGTCAAAATTTCACCATCCTTAATCTTGATAGAACCTGGTTTTGGATAACAAACAGACCTTCCAACAGCATAACCTTTCTCATTTCCGGGTTCAATTCCCGTTCCATATTTTGCTTTTGAGGTACATAGAGTTCTTCCGTCCTATATTAATAGAAAATATAAATTGTATTATTAAAGATGCATTGCAATATATATATATATATATATATATATATATATATTTCAGTTCTCAAAATGATATATATTATTTAAATTACAAAGAATGATGGGAAATACTTAAGATATCTGTACCTCTCCATATAGAGTTGCATTAATACCACTTGAATGCAAATGAGCCGTTCCATAAATGAGATAACCACCTTTTTGCATTGGAATTTTTGTTTTCTGGACATGAGGAGAGTCCTTGCTACCATTTGCCAGAATAGTAAATTCTACCTATAACAAATTAATAAAACTTTAATCCTCACTTACTCCAAACAAATTAATAGATTGAAAAGTGTAATTATAAAGTGCATTGAATAACAAGCATATTTACCTGACACTCATGGAATGAAGTTGAACTATTGGATTTGATTTTATCGGTCGAATCAAGTACATAAAAATTAACAGGAATTTGGCTTTCGTCCCAGTCAACCCACCTTATTTTGTATCTTAGGGCAAGCTTTCTCTTTGGGCCTTCAAAACCCTCTCTCAATTTGCATTTTAAGTTGTCTTTGCAACATAGGAGTCCTCCTTTATATTCGGGGGTCAGTGGCTCACCATTAATGCCTTTTGTGACATTATAAAAGTCTTTAGGGAGATTCATAAGATCACAGTTGCAATCAGTACAACCTTTCCTATCTTGTGTACCACGTGTATCAATGGCCAATATGTCTAATAACCATCTCTCTTCATACCCATATGGAATTTCTGCAGGGTTATGTAGTTCTACTGCAAAAGGGTCTGGAAGGTTTGAGGTTGTTCCTCGTGATTCAACTCCTAAGCCCCAGTAAAGTGGAAGAATAAAGTCGTGGCACATGCCTTGATTCCTCTTGAAAATGAAACCATCATAATTCTTGGGACGAACCTTAGAGCCGCCGCGCATGCTAGCAACAGTAACATTTTCAATGTATCTTATAGCAAACCAATGGTGAAGGTATGTTTCATACAAAGGTACAGAGTTCCCATCTTCATCAATTAGTTCAGCATCAAAACTCTTGACTCCAATGTGACCTTTTGGGAATTCAATATCATAAAAACTTTTCCCCACAACTAGTCCTGGCTCCATTTCAAACATTTCAGACACAAAAGTAGCTGACTTTATATGACCGTCGGGATCCTCATGGGATGACTTGTCTCCATTGTCAGATTTTGGAAACTCAAAATTTAACAAATTTTTCCCTTGTAACGAATTTAATTCTTTTATCCCTTGGAATGAATATGCTGTGCTTGATAGTAACACTAGTATTGATAATGAAAGTATCAATGATTTAGAGATAAACTTCGTGTTTACCTATTAGAAAAACCAGCATTATTAATCACATGATTAGTTATGAATAATGTTTGTACGTAACATTATTCTTTCGTGTATACAAACATATGCTAAAAAAGTAGGCACAATAAGTAAGATTGAAGAAGACAAATTAAGGGTTAAAATTTGGAAGGAAGAAAAAGCATACCAGATGATCAGAAGAACATGAGTAAATGATCATTGTGGAGATTTGATCTTTGTCGGAAGTATAATCAATTTTAGTTTTGAATGCTTATGGAGTTGTTGTTTATTGCTTTTATAGTATAAGATTTTGAAATGGAAAAGCAGGCGTAACTTAATGCCAATTCAACGTAAGTGTTTTGGATTTATCTTTAAGTTGTTTCTAGAGATTTTGTAAAGAAATTACAGCGTAACTGACAATGCAAATCATTCGGCAACTCTTTAAAACCATTTATAGGCATAAGAAGTTGATGACCGCTGAGCATTTTTCTCAACAAAAATCTTCTAATGGGAATTTCCTTTTAATGGCCAAATTAGTTTGAGTTTTCTTTATTTTGGTCTATTTTTCTGTTTTTGTTAACAAATGTGCCAATCACAGTCTTAGCTATTTCACAACAATATGGGGTACCCAGTATCCACACACCTTTCCATTACGAATAAGGTTTATCATATCAGAAAATGAGAATTTTTTTTTCTTTTATCGTAACAGCCTCAAATGTCAAAATTAGTTGACAATAAAGAATATGTATCTTTTACCACATAATTTAATGAAATACATCTGCAGTACATTTTTTTATAAGACACACAGACAGATCTTCAAATATAAGCATATTTTTCTGCATTTATGTACCTTTTAAATTTTAAAAAATTTGTCAATTATATCAATACTTTTTTTTTTCAAAACCAAAATTGAGAAGATCTTCATTGAAATTATAAATTTGATAAAAATATATTTTTATTTTTATTTTTTCCTATTAAATATTAAAAATATAAATTCTGAAATTATTTGTTGAATTTTTTAAAAAAAATACTTTATTTGCTGAATTCAAACTTTTTTTGCTGGACCATATTCAAACTTTAATTTTATGGCTTGCGTGTTTAGCTTTGGTTTTATCTCTTCCTTTAAAATATTACTTTGACGGTTAAATCCTTGACAAATTTATAAAAGAGGAAAATGAAAGTTATTCTTATAATCTCTTTCGTATTACAATCTTTTATAATTATTTTTTATTCTTATATCAAAATTAAATCAATAATCACAGAATGACATCATGTAAAAATTAATAATTTAATTTTGATCAATCAATAATAAAAATAATTGTAATAAATTGTGTATAGGTTGTACCTTTTATGAATAAAGGAGAATTTGACAGACGAAAAAAAATGTTGATTGATATTTTTTCAAAAAAAAATTGTTAGCAAATATTTTCGGTGAGATATTTTTTTTTTTTTGGTACATATTAATCTAAGGGAAAAATGTTTATCCTTTTAAATGACACAACTCATATCCTTTCACTCTCACAAAAAGGTAGGACCCACACATTTATTTTTTTGTCAACTCTCTCTCCTCCTTTATCTATCTATTTCTCTCTCTTAAAATGACACAACTTTACATCCTTTAAAATGACACAAACTTTTTCCTTAATCTAAATATTCAGCAAATGTTAGCAAAAGTGACTGAACACTTCCTAACACGAGTTCTGTTAAACAAATATAACAACTTTACATATCAGCAAAACACATGAAGAAAAAGGAAAAATAAAATAAAATCATCTTATGTTGTTCTTCATAACAATAATAATCGGGAAAAGTTCAAATATTCAACGTGGTTTGCTTTTGAATCACTTATTCTTTATATATTTTTTTTATCATTTACTTATCTGTGTCTTTCTTCATCGAAGTTCCACCTTAACAGTGTTAAGGTTTCTAACTATTATGATTAATCTACTCTTTTTATAAAAACATACCTTGTGTCATCTTTTTTCTCAAGCTCTGCAACGGCTTGTAAGCATATAACATTTCTTCAGCTCACAACAATTTTCTTCAAATTAATTTTTTTTAAATGTATTAATAACTATTATAAAATAATACTTGATGCCTTTGCAATTTGATATTTGGCTTTTTTTTGTACAGAAACTTCACAAATACTTTTGTGGCAGAAATACTTTTGCCTACCACATATGCAAAAAAAATTATGTTCATCAGGATCTGCATGCAGATCCCAAAATTCCTTTTTTTTTTTAAATAAAGTGAACCTAGTTTATTGTGTCTGTCATAGACAAAATTGTTTGCCACTGCTACCTAACTAAAGGACCCTTTACAAAAATCAACCTCGTGTCATTTTTTTTTCTCAAGCTCTGCGAGGGCATTTTATAAAATTTCTTCAGTTTCAGACAATTTTCTCTGAATTAATTATTTTTTTAAAAATGTATTAATAATTACTATAAATTAATACTTGATGTTTTTGCAATTTGATATTTGGTTTTTTGTACATAAATTTCACAAATAATATGATTTATATTTAATTTTTTATATTAATACAGTTGGTTACTTCCCGGTGAGTGCTATCCATTATGAAGGCATGTAGGACTCTGCTACCGCTACTCTTGGAGGGGAAAACTACTGCACTAATTTGATTTCCAAAAACGTATATCCAAACATAAAGTAGGTTATAATTCATAATTTATTTTTCTTATAATCTTTTACGATTATTTTCTTATCGTTGTATAGAATTCCTCGGATAACGAAAAATGTGAAGACATTTAGTGTTAAACATGAATAAAATGAGTTTAAGCTTTGTTGGTTGATGGGAATCACATAGCACCTTCAAATGTAAATTGTATGGTATTAAGCTACTGTATTCATAATTCCACCATAAGTTTTAAGTTATGATCGCAATTAGTATATTGTCTGATATAGTTATTTTAAAAATGCAAAGGATACTAAAGAGAAAAAGTTTTCCCATAATTTCAAATAATTGTTGTGATTGTAACTGTGTTTAATATCATGATTGATGATAACACACCGGTTCGGTAATGAGGTGTTCCATCAAGCAACCCCTTAGAACACGTTCATGGCTACATCCTCATAAGAATTTGATGGGTGATTTTTTTTGTTTTTGTTCTGCCTAAGGCAGATGTGCCCAATGAAGATTGGGTGATTGATCTAGGATTTGAGTCATTCTCTCTAGATACCTATGAATTAGGTACCTTGGGGATAGCAAATCACTACACACAATATGATGGCCTTAGCCTTGAGGGGTGTGTGTGTGCACTGTCGTGATTGCATAAAGTAGAGTAGAAAGATATATCCCCTATACCTGTGGCCTTTAGTTCCTATTTATAGTGCTTACCTGTGGGCTTGTGCTGACTATAGGCATTACTCTGGTCCATAACAGTTGCCCCCCAGCCCGGTAGACTGAGCTCTCAAGATGCCGGGATGACATGCCGAGTTTATCCCAACGGATTGTGCCAGACAACAGCTATTTAGCTCGAGTCCACGACCTGGCTAAGCATCTTGGATATACAATTCGACCTGCCCTTTTGTAGCCAAACTATCATCAAGCTGCAAGTGTGTTTGTTTCTTCCAATCCGGCGTATCCTGCTACCCTGTAACTGTAGTCTTCTTTTTTTTTACACCCCGGCCTGTGGAACCGGACTTTTTCAGTACTGCTGAGGTTTTGAAGGACTGCAGATGATGCCCTGATCTCCAGACGATTCTCCTTCTAACACAGTGAATCTCTTTTGCAGATAATCATGACGGCCCTCCACGTGGCCTTCCTACACCCAAACGATGTGTACCATTATGCATGTTCGTGCTGCTGGCATTTATTGCAACTGTCAGGGCGTCCCTTCAACTGTCTCATCTGGCGAAGTTACCCCTTTACCCCTGACCTTTGGTTTCGTGGGTTTCACTTATTTGATTTCTATTTCTCATTCATTTTTCACTTACGCCATTTACGCTTTGCTGCATTACGTTCTGAGAGTTTCTTCGGTTTGTGTATTTCCCAGAAGCACTCACACCACTTCCTCTTGTTTTTTCGTTGTGCCAAGTACATGCTTCAATCTACTTTTATGTTTCTTCCTTGCTTGTTCTTCTTCCTTACTCAAGTGCATGTTTAATTGCTTACATTTTCTGTTTCTGGGTATTTCTATTTTGGTCATGCACACTTAGGCATATAGCCATTCTGTACTGCAATTTTGATATAATCCCCGCTCGTTGGAATATTTGCTTGTTAATGCCATGCTTTCTCTTGGGTATTTGATTGTGATTTGCATGCTGCCATTTTATTGCCCTTGCCCCACTGTTTATGCCTTTTTCTTCCCTCAATAGCATGAACGGGGGGAGTTTGAATGGTCGAGGGAGGTCTACATGCCCTCGGGTTTTTGGTCGTAGTGATGAGATCCTTACGGAAGAGGAGGAACAGGCTGCATAGGAAGGGGAAAGGTATATCCAGAGCCTTCCTCCTGGCGCGAGGTACTGGTTGTATGGTAGACCTCGGACCCAGGAGGAGACGCAAGCCGCCTTGCTTAGGGGTTATCGCAAGGGTAGAAGTGGGGGAGGTTCTTCGTCTCGTCCTCCCATTCGAGGACGCCGCCAACGTTCTGGCCGCATTCCAGGTGTTTCATCCCAACGTTCCAGCCAAAACTTAGGTACAAGCTCAGATCCGTCCCATTCAGTTACTACCCCGGCTCCTAACCTTACCCGAGTTCAAGTTTTGCCTCTGGTCGAAACCGTAAACTGAGATGCTAGGAACTCAGATCCATGTTTCAACTGTGTTTACCTTAGCACCCAATTCATTGAGAAGGGGAGCGATTTTATGGCTGACTTGGTGTTAGGAAGTTATACCCACTACCCCAGCTCATTTAACCCTGCTTCTTTATCTTCTTCTGATGATTCATCCAGCTCTTCTCTTGATAGTTTATTTAGCTTAGGTACGTACACTCTTTATTACGTACTGTTTCTGCTTTTAATCCTCCCCTTTTGTTGTTCTAGGTTCTTATGGAGTCCCCTTCTGCAGAGTTTAACACTGAGGTGACCTCGTCAAACCAAGGCCAGGGAGCCGACGTCAGCCCTGCTGAACAAGGCTCTACTCCCGTTAGTACGACTCTTCGCAATCAATTTCCATGGGTGACCGAGGAAGTCCTTAGCTTCCGGTCAGAAATAACAACTGAGGAGATATTCGGGCTTCCCATAGGTAACCCGGTGGGATTCGATACCTTCTGCCCTGCCGAAGATGAACCCGTCTGCTCAGGTCGAAATCCCCAAGAACCTCCTACTTTCTTTTGTTATCGTGATTTAATTACCAAGATTGAAATTCACTTTCCTTTCTCTTTTTCAAAATACAATTGTTGAATCATCTTCGCGTCGCCCCCACACAAATTCATCCCAATGGTTGGGCCTACATCGTTGCTTTTGAGCAACTGTGCACCTCTTTGTCTGTACCGTGCACCATGCCCTTTTTTGTATTTTTTTAACATATACACTCCTCGTACCAGATCCAAGCCCGTTGAACTGAAAGGGTGGACCAGCATCCGAGGTCGTGGAGGAAAGAAGCCGTCCCGAAAATTATTTTCAGTGTTCAGTGACTCCTTCAAAGATTTTAAGGGTGCATTTTTTAAAGTCGTTGTCGAGGTTGGCGCGAAACCGTGGTTCCTGCAAGAGGGCGGGGAAGGAAAATTCCCCTTATACTGGTCCTACGATCACCATCTCTGGAAGCCGGCTGACTACCGGCTAGGGCTGTCAGCGGAGGAAAAGACCAACACCAAGACTTTGTTGGATCACGTCGATTCTCAAGGGCATTTAAGCGTTGCTTCCTTGGTGGCTAAGTCTACTACCGACCTATCCCAGACCAGTATGGATTTGTCTATAGAATATGCACATATTTTTGCAATATGGGTTTCTTTCTTCTTTGATGCTAACCCCGACTTTCTTTTTCTTTTATGCAGGCACCCAGATGAATCCTGCTACAGGTAAGGTTCCTGACTACGTTCTAGCCCGGCGAGGGAAATCTGTTGCTCGACCTCCCCCTGCCCTAAAACGGCCACATACCACTAGCCCTCTAGCTGGCACTAGCATTGTTCTGCCGTCAATTGCCGACGTTTCTGTGGTGGATTTATCCAACAATGACAGCTGGTTGGACACGGGGAACTGTCAAGCATCCACTTCCATGGAATCAGCCGGGATTACCAGTGCTGTGCTTTCTTTGGAGCATGGTAGCCCAGCTCCTAATCCTCTTCCCGCAGGTCTGAGGATAGGGGCTCTGTGGGAGACCGGAGTGGCCACAGAGTTGCGAGGCGTCATGCATCTCCCACCTGAATTCTATGAGACCGGCATTTTGTTTAGAGCCCAAGTGGAAGAGCTTGAGATGGCCAAACTATATACACACAAAACGACATCTTTAGTGAAACCGTACTCAATTCTGTTGGAGAAGCATTCAGAGCTGTGCGCTGAAAAGGATACCCTTAAAATTGACAGGGATACCCTCCGGGCTGAACGTGACAAGCTGGTCGAAGATAATAAGAAGTTGACAACATCCGCTGCTACTTCGAAGGCGTCGTTGGAGCAATCCCAGGCTGACATGAAGCTTGTTTCAGACTCCTTTGGCCTCAAAGCGAATAAAGAGGCTATCATAAATTTTGTTAAGGGGAAGTTGTCATCACTATCCGAGTTGGAGAGAAAAAACACGGCCTTGAATCTGCAAGTCAAGAAGCTGCAAGCTGACGTCAGAAGTTTGCACGCAGACTATGATAACAGTCAAGTCGTGTTGGAAAATGCTGCTGAAACTGCATTCAATAATACTATCAATCAGATCAGGCATTTTAACCCGGATGTAACCCTGAATACTGATCAACTTGATTGCTTCGGGTATGTCCTGAATGGCGCATTTATCTCTTCTTCTGCGAAAAATGATGCCGTCCCCGGTGAGGGCCCCTCTTCGAATCCGGCAATAGAAGCTGCTGAACAACAATTCGAGGAAGAAATGAGAGAAATTCTCCCCCACGATGCACAACAAACATGAAGAGCCGGGATGCCGGTGTATTTTGTAATATTTTTACTTCTCGTTAATATTTGCTGACTCTATGCCACGTGCTGGCTGTTTTCATCAGTTTGAATTGTTTGGACAATGTTTGCCAATTCATGTGTATGATTTTAATTTGTGTTCGCGAAATGTTTTAAAAGCTTTCTAGGGTGTCCCCTACTTTTAACGTTCGCTCCTGCTTAAGCAAGATGGGTTCCAACGACCCGAACGATCTACGAGGCGAGAACGCCCAATCCCGACTCTGGGCAGGATGGGTTCAAATACCCCGAATTTACTTTCGAGGCTAGAACTCTCAATCTTGCCCTGTGGGCAAGACGGGTTCAAATACCCGGCTTGTTTTTCGAGGCTAGAACTCTCAATCCCGCCCTGTGGGCAAGACGGGTTCAAATACCCCGAACGATCTACGGGGCTAGAACGCTCAATCTCGCCCATTGGGCAAGACAGGTTCAAATATCCCGGATTTATTTACGAGGCTAGAACTCTCAATCTCGCCCTGTGGGCAAGACGGGTTCAAATACCCCGGATTCCCTTACGAGGCTAGAACGCTCAGTCTCACCCTCTGGGCAAGACGGGTTCAAATACCTTCGTGCAACATTCTTTCATTGAACTCTCTCTCTTTTCCCTCCTTAAGCTTCCACCACCTTATCCTTGGGTTCTAAGCCCTCTTCCTCATTGTAAGTACTTTGTTGAACCGAACCTCCAGGACTACCAGCTTATGTTGCGTAGCGACACACTCTCTAGGGTAGACCTTACAGTCGACACAAGAAGTTCTATCTTCTCTTCTAGCCAAAAAGAAATCAATCTTAGCCAGGAAACTAAGATATATATGTCAAAAAACTACATGACTGAAAAGACTTACGCTATGAAGCACGGATTTAAGAATTGGCTTTTTGTACCAAACGTAAGGAAGGCTTTATACTAAAAATTTCATTTAGAATGGGGACAGTAATAAAAGATCCATATCCATACCACTTCTTGAGGAAAAACCCAAGAAAAAAAAAAAACTGCAACTAGGTCAACTAAGCTCTGATATGATGTCAGAGCAAAATCACCGAAAAGCTTAAGCAGCTAAAAAAGACCTCAACAATGGGTTTGGTCATCTTAGCTTCTACCAGACTTTTGGTATGATTTAAAAAATTAGGCAAACTCTTCTACAGCCAACTGATCCAGCAATCCTAAAGTTGTAGCAAGGTACTCCAAATGAACTGATAACGATGCTTCAACAGCACTTCTGGCAGCCCATTAGCATCCTTTCATGCAGAAGAATAAATTAAGAATAGAGACAAGTACAAAAAGGAAGGATAAGATATTCTCCATTCCTCCTTAACAAAGAAGCTAAAAGGGTATTCAGCATGCTATGAAATAATTGTATCTTGAACTACTTAAACAGTATAATATAAATAAGAATTCATGGACTACAAAAGTTTAACCCAAAAACAAACTATTAATAACTGTCACATAATCTAATAACTAAGGGTATTATGAGTCTTCATGAATTATTACGAAGTTAAACCAAGAGCAACATCAAAGCAAAATTTCTAACATGACCTGCACCTAAATTACCGCACTCCCAGTAACCCTTCATGGAGACTGCAAAGAACTTTACCCCAGATTCAATTGTTTGTAAATTACATATTTCAAAAGAAGAGCCAATCTTGGAAGCAGAATCCATCATTGTACTGTACTGTATGTTCTTGAGGTAAGTCACCAATTTGGGGATATGATATGTGCTTCAAGGCACCCAGAGCAGTAAAGTGGCTAGTATACAGCAAAATCTCAGAATCATAAATTTGACAAAATCCTTAAGAAAAATAAAAACTACATATACCAATTAAATTGCTTGGCCCTTTTCTTTTGCTTTCTTGAGCCATTTAAGCGTGCTCTCCAGTGTTGAGTAAGCAGCAACATCTGTCACACTCTTGCTCTCAACTGCATAATCAAACACTTCATAAGCCTCTGCAATTCTACCATCCCTACACAGTGCCCTAACAAGTGTAGCATAAGAAGCTGTTTCAAGCCCCAAACCACCTGATTTCATCACTCCATACAATTCAATGGCCTTCTCCAACAACCTAGACTTACACAACCCATGTAGCAGCGTGTTATACGTGCATGAATTCGGACTGCAACCCTTTGCTTCCATTTCTTCCAACAATGCCAATGCAGCTAAGGCATCCCCTTTCCTGCACATTCCATTCATCAGGGAGGTATAAGTTACCTCATCAGGAAAATAACCCTTTTCCGTCATAACGCGCAATAACTTCTTAGCTTCTGTAACTCGGCCAGATTTAGATAACCCGAAAATCAAAGTGTTATAAGTAACAAGATCAGGCTCTACCCCTTCCTCTTTCATTTTATTATAAACCTCAATTACCTCACTTCCCCTATTCAGCATACAATACCCTTTCATGATTGTATTGTAAACAAAGCAATCCGGCTTAAAACCCTCCTCACCAAGCACACTCACCAACCGCAAAGCCTCACGCAGGTTCTTGGTGTTACAGACATTATCAATCAGAATAGTATAAGTAACAAGATCAGGCTTTACACCGAAATTGCTACGCATTTCATCAATGAAACTATACACAGTGCTCAATGCACGGCACTTACAGAGATGCTTAACAATGAAATTGAAAGTGTAAGTGTCAGGACTGCAATGCTTCAAAGAAAGTTCTTTGATTAATTCCACCGCGTGATCCAACCGACCGGCCAAACAGAGTGCCCGGACCGCTATATCTGTGGTAACTTTATCGGGGCCTATGCCGCCCGCGATCATCAAATTTAGGGTTTGATGAATTGGGGCAAGTGTGGAATCAGGGGATTTGCAGGATTGGGAGAGCAAGATGTGGTAGGTGGATCGGTCTGGGGAGAACGAAGAATGGGTCTTCATCATGTGGCGGAGAAAAGCCATGGAATCATTGGTGGTGGAGATTGATGCGTAGGATTGAAGGAGGGAATTGTGGAATCGAAGGTCAATGGAGCCATTTGAGCTGTTGACGATGGAGTTGAACACGCTCTTGGCGTCTTGGAGACTCGGGGACCTGAAGAGAGAGAGGGATTTTGGATTTGGAGTACGAGGTTCCTGCTGCTGGGGTTTTCGGGATTTTCCGGAAAAATTGGATGGGATTTTCTTGGGAAAGTGATGGGGTTTGGAAGAAGAGGGGTTTTGAGAAGGAAGCAGAGAAGATGGGTTTCTTAAGTGTGGGTTAGCGATTGCGCTACGAAATGAAGGAGGGATTTTTCCCATGTCGTATTCTTCTTCTTACTCTTCCTCCTCCTCGTTGCAGGGTTTATAGGGTTTTACAGGTTCCGAGTGTTAAATCTTTTAAAGCAATTTTACTATATATCTATTTAATTATATTTTTAATGGAATTTTTTTTTAATTAATTTTGACTATGGAAAGACGAAGTGGATTTTGAGTATACTTTTTTATTTTAAAGAAAAAAGAGTATTAGGTAAAAATTGATTCGATTCAACCGAATCAAATTAAAGTTACTTCATTTTTAATTCGTAAATCTTCAATATTATTAGACAATGTTCATAATAAAACATGCAATTCACTTGGGTTTTTTTTTTACCCTTTTACTCCTTATTAATTAAAAAATAATCATTTTATCTTTATTTCAAAATTATACACTAATTTGTCCTTTGTTAATCGATTAAATGATCATATAATCAATTAATTAACAACCATATAGATATCTTTATATAATCGATTAAATATCGATATAATTGATTACATATAAAGAAAAACAAAAAATTCACGAGAAACAGATTTTCATACGAGTTATAGTTTGCATGTTTCGGGCTTTTGGGTTTATGGTGAAATTGTCTGCTTGTGTGTACAATTGGTACTCTGTTTTTCTTAATTAGTGCAAAGCTAAGGGAGTTTACCCCTATTCCCTTTGAGAAACAAATCTTAATAGCAATATTAAGTTTAGAACAAAGTAAACTTGTGTGTCTGTTTCTCTTTATGTTTCTATTACCGTTTAAATTTGTGTATTCTACTGCAATAACTCTAACACTTGCTATAACTCAGAACTTTCTCCAGCTAGCTAGCATACTATTTTATTTCTTTAGTGAAGACCCAATATTCTCAAACGCATAACTACAGTGCACCAAACTAAAAGGAAGAAGATAGACAAGTGATCACATAAATCACACTACACACACAAAACATTAAGGTGCTGTTTGGTTTAAGGTTTCGTATAAGTTGCCTATGCAAATAGAAGTGGCAAAGTAAGACATCCATGTTTGGTAGACAGTTTTTGTTAAGTTCCCCATCTATTATATTTGCATAGCATTCTTCGTCTGGTTGTAGAAAGCAGGCTATTGGCACTGTTAGGAAAGACAAATTGGAGGTGGTTTTCTCTCGTTAGCCATCTAAATGGCAAAAGTGCAATCGAAATAAGACCATGGTACCCTCATATAAAGCGTGAAGAAAGAGGCGAAGAAAGATATAGATAGCAGCGCCCGTGAGTGTGAGTCTCCTTAATTTTCGATGTCGTTCTTTTGATTGAGTGAGTTAATAGTGAACAGAGTTAAATATCTGATCTATTACTGAACCTTTTGTTTTGTACGATTCATTTTCCCCTCAATTTTGCTATGTGCAGATGTGTTTGATCCATTTTCTCCAACTCGGAGTCTGAGCTAGGTTCTGAATATGATGGGCCAGTTCATGGATAATCCATTCCTCTATGCGTCGCGTGGAATCGGAGCTAGAGCTGGAGCTCGTCGCGGGTGGGATGCTAAAGAGACAGAGGATGCTAAAGCGTATTTTCTTGATTGAAGAGGTATACTCTGATACAATAAGGAATTCAACCGACTTATTTAATGGAAAGGCTAAATCATTATTGATTAATATTGTAGTATTCATACACAGGAAGCTTCAACCTGATCTTGAGGATAAAAAATATAGCTAAGTTTTATGAAACCATGAATGTGTACTGAGTAGTAATTTTTCACTCAATAACACAATACAAAGACACCAAAATAATATACCACTAATTATATATATATATAGAGGTCCTTTGACACCGGTGTCAAATTTGAAGTTTGACACTTCATCTGAGAGCCGTTATATCAAAAAAGATCAATGGTGTCACATGCTTACAAATTAGAGTCGTTGATCTTTTTTGTTCTAACGGCTCTCAGACGAGGTGTCAAACTTCAAATTTGACACCGGTGTCAAAGGATCCTGCCTCATATATATATATATATATATATATAGCTTCAGCACCAATTTGTTTGCTCTCATTGATCAGAGATAAGGTGGCGCAAAGATTAATTTGTCTTCTAACAGCTTTTATTGCAGTATCTTATATTCTCGTTAACCATTCTAGATAATTCATAACTAATTAACTGTATTCTTATATTGGAGTGTTGCACATACAGGCAATAGAATTATATATTTGGAAGCTGGGTAGTAAGCAAGGGCATCATAACAAGAATGGAAGACCAAAAGGAACGAGCCAAGGTTGAGGACCAACCATGGACCCTTGACCCTATCAAATTCCCTCTCCTGAAAGCTAGACAAGTACCTATCTTTTTCTTCCTAATAAGCTATAGCACATTTAATTAAGAAGAGTGCTAACTCAACTGATTTAAAGAATAATCAAAGTGTTGCTCCAAACCAAACAAGGATCTATCCTCAGCATATGATTTTTCTCACAAGAAAATGAATGGTGTGATTGTTCTCCCTTCTTGTAGTTGATAAGACAACTGGTTTTTATAGTTAGTTCTTTATGTATATTTGCATTATTCTCTTATACTTTTGTATTAGTTTTTGTTGTTGGAGATATAAAAGCCACTCTTAAGCCTTAATTTAAAAGACTACACTTTTGGGGCTGTAAGCTTGTTAACATGGATTAGAAGCCTTCTCAACCATATAAAAATTTAAATATTAAAGGCTTTGATATGTTGCTAAAAGAACATCATATTAGAAACGTAAATAAATTTTAGATGAAAACCAGAACATAACTTGATTATTTTCTTATCACATAACCAGAACATATATATGTATGTGTGTGTGAGTGAGTGTGTGTGTGAAATCATAATCTCAAAAGAAGAGAGAAAATGTGAACATCAGTTGAGAAAATGTATTAGAAAGAAGTAGGTAGTAGACATAAAAAAGGTAAGCATATTATCTTAAATGACTTAATAATAGGTTCTTTCACCAAACCTACCATCCCAACGTCAATATGCATTCTATCCTATTTAACTTATCTCGTTACAACTGTCTAAAAAACCTCTCTCTTCAGTGATTTTCTACTCATACAGATTATTGATACCACTTCTACTCATACAGATTATTTGACAGTCTTATATGAAAACAGCCATGTTCAAAGTGCAGCTGATAAAGTGATTGCTTGACAGGCATGCTGTCAAGTTTGCCTAGGTTGTTTATTTTTGTGGTAAAAGAGCATGTTTTGAGGTTGATTTAAAGCAAAGGAAGAGGAAACCATGGATTGAAAGAAACAACCTGCATTTTTATCTGATATAGATACATAGGATCCGAAACAGAACCATGAATCAAGGCCATTTGGCATATATGTGTATCTGTTATATTGAATTAATGTTACAGCCATTCATTGGTCATATGAATGTAATTTTACATCTATTTTATGTATTTGTTATCTGTAAAACTCTTGCCATTAATTAACTATTACCATTAAGATTATTGTCACTTATGAAATTATCTAATAATGTAGCCCGCACCTGTTTGTTTCACACATGTACAAATACACCATCGCATCATGAATACTTGGAATTAGATGAGGAATCAAGGTGAAATATCTGAAGAAAGAAATGAACACCCGAAGTGCTTCATATTAATTGAATCACTGAAATATAATCCATTGCTTGCTAAGGTCATGAAGCTTCATCAGTGAGTAATTTGGCACTTCCTTATCCTTAAATTTAAATAAGCATCAATCTAAGGTTTATATGTTGCTTGATTGCCATGAAATCTCATCATTTCAAGCATGAAGACCAATGACAACCATCAAAAGAATAAACTTCGCATTATAATAAGAGGAGAATTTAACCAACGGTTATTGAAATTTTTGGCAATTCTTTTCAGATTAATCTTGAAGACCAAAAAACTGAGGCAATGTGTCATAATTCAAGTAAAGTTGCATTTGTCACCATGTAATAGTTAAATATCATGTAAATAAAATATGAGTTGAGATTGTCTCCAGTGAGAAATTCTATGGCTCCTAGTCAAGGAATACGTGATGAGTATGAAACTGGAACTCATAGTATGAGTAGTTTCAGTAGTCCAAGCCATGTTCAAGAGGCAGTGTCTCTAAGCCCTCTTCCACAGGGCCACAGTTTGGGTGGCTTTAGGGCAGTTGCCTCAATTCCTAGTTTGGTGCCTGAGCGTCCTTTACCTTCTAAGGCAATATCTAACCCAATATCTAACCCTTCGCTTGGATTTGATGGATGAATGGCGCCAAAGGGAGTCGGTAATGATCTGTTATTGCTTTCAGCTTCTAGCACTTATATTACTAAAGATGGTCTATCAGTAAACAATTGAACGCGAACTTCAAAAATCTGTTTCAAATGAAGAAAGACTTGCATTTTTTTATTTTCCCAAAAATTTTAAAAACAGGGATATTTTCGTAATTATCACTTATTTTCCCATTTATATTTTACCTCAAACCAAACATAGACTTTATAAATCTTACCTAATTTGCCCAGTAAATTTTTTTTCAACCAAACAACTTTTTTTACATTTTCCTACCAAACTCACTTTCTAACCATTTCCCTATCAATTACATTTCCCTAGTATTCAAAAAATTTCTCCTCAACCAAACGCCCCCTAACAAACACTTGAACCAAATGTTATTAAAAGGGTCAAAAAGCTTCTTCTCCTGCAACTATAAAAATTTCATTTAACACCATTTAGGCCACTGATACCCCTATATATATATAAATTTCAAGTTTATCCAGGCAGATCACATACCCAAATGTCCTCATCAATTGAACTACGCAAATCGATATATAAACTCGTGAATTTTTTGTTTTTCTTTCTATGTAATCGATTACAAATCGATATTTAATCGATTATATCAATAAAAATATCTATATTTTATTGGGTTTTTGACCCTTTTACCCTTAATTAATTAATTACTAATCATTTTGTCCCTTATTCAAAACTATCTACCAATTCGTCCCTCTTTAATCGATTAACTTGAAGATTTAATCGATTAAATGGTCAAAACTGGCAAAAAGTGGTGACTTGAAGATTAAATCTTAAAGTTAATCGATTA